GTTGAGCACGAGCGCAGTCGACAACTGCATGATTAGCGGAAAGTTCTATCCCATGATGATTTCATGAGACGCATGCGGAAGGACGACAAATTCAACGATGTAAAGCACTCCTTAAATCACAACACGAGCAGTGCATGTGGCATGAGGTTGGACGTGTTGCGAGCTCGCTGTGCGTAAAGAAATTTCAACCAGTGGAGTCGTCACTTTGTTCAGTTTGCGGCATAACACTTCACTGATTATACAAATAGCAGCACCTGTGTCGACAAGAGCAGTTGTGGCGAAACCGTCCACAAACACGGCAATCTCATTAGGGGGCGAAAGATGAGGCCTTGGAAATTTCGTCGGTGGCGCAGCTCTTGCCTCAGGAACTGCGACTGTTAGTTTTCCTCCTGGACGTGGTTGGAACGGCGAAGCATGGGGGAAGGAGACCGAAGACGGGGTGAAGGAGATCGACGTCGGCTGAAGTTTGGTCGACGTGAGCGGGGGTCATGTGAATCAGGTGTCACATGCGATTCTGATTGCCGAGGTATGTTGCCGGAATGCTGAACATCATTAAAATAGAATCCACGGCGACGACAGTAGCGCGCGACATGTCCTGGAATACCACAGTTTTAGCAGACGGGCCGGTTATCCGGAGTACGCCAAGAGTTTACAGGTGCTCGAGGTGGTGGAAAGGGTCGATTTACCGGATAAACCGAAACTGGTGACCTGTAGTAGTAGGTGGCTAGACTGCATGAAGGGAGCGGCAGTTGGGCAGGAGGTAGGCGGACGGCTTCTGCATAAGTCAGCGGTGCAGCCACTGATATTGGGGACGCGGGCGAAGGGAGAGCCTCGGCAACTTGCGTCTGAATAGCACGGCGAAGTGAGTGGTCCAGTGTTGTGGGGGTCTCGTTGATGATGGCGACAAGAGAGAGCTGTCGAGCAACTTCCTCCCGGATGTACTGTTGAATTTGAGGCATTAACACGCTGTAGTCGGGGCCACTGCTTTTGCACTCCAAAGCCGAAATATCAGCTGTTTGCGTATTAGCGCGATGTGTGGAAATTCGTTGCTTGCGCAGCTTATCGAAACTTTGACATAGCTGTGGGTCTTTGGCCACAAGCATATGAAAAGCGTCGTCGTCAATGCCTTTCAATATATTCTTTATTCTGTCAGCCTCCGTCATCCTCGCATCAACTTGCCTACAGAGGCTGATCACATCCTCAATGTAGCTCGTGAAGCTCTCACCATTTCGCTGAAACCGTCCCCGCAGGCCCAGTTCAGCACGAAGCTTACGCATGGCTGGACGACCAAAAAACGAGGTGACGGCCTCTTTGAAAACCGACCAGGTGGGGATGTCGGCTTGGTGGTTGGCGAACAACCATAGGTTGGCCAAATCCTTCAAGTAGAAGATAACGTGAGTCAGCTTCGCAGGGTCATCCCACTTGTTAATCGTGCTGGCATGCTCGTACTCTGCCGGCCAGTCCTCGACATCTTGATCTTCAGTGCCGTTGTATACTAGTGGGTCACGCAGACGAAGTACACCAGAACAGAACACATGACAGGTGGCAGCGTGGAAGAGCCTTGTGGGGGATCGACGCGCTCGGTCATCGCGGACTGAGATGGTAGCTTACGGCTGCGGAGCTCCAGGACGTTACCCAGCACGTTTCCACCAAATGCAACGAGCAAAGTTGCGTAAAAACACAGGTTATTATTCGAGAAACGTTAGCCGCAACAAGCTGGTACAGGCAGGAACCCGGCAAGCACGAGCCACACACGGACGTCAACGTCTTCTTTCACGCTGGCACAGAGCTGGCGCCACTATGCTTCGGTACAATATATATATACATCGCTTGGCAATCGAGGTAGGTTGTTTGCCCCCCACTCGTGAAAGAGTTGGTACGCCACTGGACACCAGTCGTTCAACGCCACTATAAGCCAATGCGCCTAGACCAAGGTAGGCTATTTGCACAGGGTTAACCCTCGCCGCCAGAAAAATTTGAAATAAAAGGAAGAAACAAGAGGACAGGAAAGATAAAAAGTGATGCCTAAGACGAAGATGTAGAGAGAGAAAGAGGGATAGGAAAAGGCGACTGCCGATTTCCCCTGGGTGGGTCAGCCCAGGGGCGCTGTCAACATGAAGCCAGGGTCAAAAGGGTGTGTTGCATCTGCCGGGGGGCCTTTAAGATTTATTCTTCCGGCGGCGGCTAAACCCCCCGGATTCCCTTTCCCCCGGGCACTGCTCAGCCATGCACGGCTAGGCATGGTAGGGAGTCGAAACTCTCCCGTTAGCTTGGGTCCATGGCATCGCTACGCACCAAAAGCCTTCTCTCACAGATGCCTCTGCGGGGGCCTTCGTTTTTTGCCCATGGTTACCAGAAAAGGCACCCCCGCAATTGCGTGGATATCGCAATAATTTGTCGGCTGATTCAGTACTTTTGCAGCAGCGCAAGGGCGAAAGATGGCGACCTTCATGTAATATCCGCTAACGATGCATGCTGTCAACATTACTTTTGGTTCCAAAACCACCATGTCGCACGACAATAATGCAAAACAGACAAAAAAGACCCTTTTGGAGCAGTATGGCACAGCGATTTCCAGTCGACTCAGGTTTCTTACCACTGCACTGGCACAACTGCAATCTAAGTTCTGGACAGTGCAGGGTGTCAAGCAGTGAAAAGAGTTTTGAACAAATATGTCGTATGCAAGAGGCATAAGACCGGACCACCTGCTCGAAACATGCCTCAATTCCCGGCAGACAAAGTTACTGAAGCAGAGCCATTCAAAATCACAGGAGTTGACTTCACAGGAACTCTTTATCCAAAGGACAAGTACGAGATCGTGAAACAAATATGTACTGTTATTCAACTGCGCAGTAATGAGTAGAGTAGACTTAGAGGCTATCAATGACATTTCATCATCAAGTTTTGTATAAGCATTGAAATAAGGTTCAAATTTACTGCTCAACGAGAAATGCCTGCAGTTATCTACTTGGGCAACACCAAAACATTTATAAAGCCTGTGAAAGAAATCAACCGAATGCTTGAAACCATTAAACACGAGGTTGTAACAGATTACTGCAGTGGCAACCGAATTCTGTGAAAAACAGTAGCTGACTGTTCCCTGTGTTGGGGAGTATTTCGCGACCGCCTCATGACAAGCGTGAAGCTGTCGATGCATAAAATACAGTCGCCGATGGATTTTCGAAGTTCAAAAATTTGGACTTGTTGGATATTTCAGACTTTACAAATGCACCGTCAAGGTTCCAATTGCACTAATGCATTTTCGCAACTCATTTTCCAGATGAAGTTAGGTTCAAAAGTTTGATCTCCCGGACTAAATTTCGAGCTATGCCGCTTGATCTGTGCTCGATTTTCAAAATCCACTTTTTAAGGCCACCATATTAGATTTTTTGTGTGATTTATCCAGTTTGGCAAGCAATGGCTAGTTGTGTGGCCTCCAAGATTGGAAGCACACACAATTTTACAATTTCAAAGGCCATCTTTGATCCTTCTTGACCAGCAAAGCGGCAATACTTTCTGTTTCAGTCAGACTTATCATCATCATTAATATACCGGTACGTTGTTATTTCTGAGCGTTTGGCTTTTTTGTCGTCATTGAGCATGTGGTCGTTTTAGTGCCAAGTGTGTTTGAACCATTGTGCGCGTCACACGCTCACTGCAGTTCGCAGTCGCTTAGTAGCACTCGGGGGGGGGGGGGGGGGGGGTCACAATACTTAGCTACTGACCTGGAACACGCGGGTTCGATCGCGGTTGCGAAGGTAGCCTTTTGATGGTGGGGAAATGTTGAAGGCTCATGTACTGTGTGGTGTGGATGCAGGTAAAAAAAGCATGCACCTTTTTGTGACCGGTATCAAGTTTTGTTAACTTGGTTCCATAGAGCCAAAAACTTAGCCACCCGCAACGGTCGGCGGCAGCAACTGACAGTGGCGCTTGCCAGCAATATTACTGTAGCCCAAAAAGAATCCAATTTGCTCATCCCCATGAACAGCATGAAGAATGGCATTATTTGAAATTTTTTCAGGCTTTTCTAATATAAATGAACTTCATTTTCACAGCTTGACTATATTTTTCAAACTGTTTAATTTTTCGGACTATTTTACGGACCTTGACGGGTTCAGAAAATCGGTCAACGACTGTAATTTCGAAAAGGACAACTTTGTTAGAGAAACTACGCTCTAGTGTAGCAGAACTTGACGGAGCACTCAATAATTGACCATTCACACTTGCTAGTATGAAGAACTTAATGAGCCAATCCAATTAACGCTAGCAGACATCACACCGACAGAGGACGACAGCTTCAAGACGCAGAAACAAGGCTGCACAACGGTGAGGATGAAGACGCATTGCGAGCTTGGTAGAGGAGATGGCATCGACAATACATCAAGGAAATAGGAGCTATGGTCAAAGCCAAGACACGACAAACCAAACCACTGTCACAGGGTGACATGTTTTTGATGAAGACAAGGGTCCAAGAACATTTCGTAAAATGTGCCAGATTAAAAAACAATACCCTAGGTGATACGGAATAACAAGAGCTCGTCTCTTTCATACAGGCCACAAAGAACTCAGAAAATCTGTAAACAACATACACCCTCCGGAGGGGTGTTGTGAATAGCCCGCCAAAGCTTATCCTATTGCAACTGTGGCAGCTGAGATCCTATAAAATATCGTCATCCAACGCAAGATAACAAGTAAAAAGACTGCTCTCTGGCACGGGCACGCGCTGCTTCACTTTTTCTAATAAAGTGTTTTGGTTCAAAGCAGTTGCTGGTCTCAACTGTCGTATCAGTGTACGTGTGGGTGTCTGTACGAATAATCAAGCAGGCGCGAGATCAGACACTAGCAGTATTTTGTAAATAAATCCTATCCTGTATGGCTGCAATAAAGAAACAGTTATATCATTGTTGCTTTTACAATTGTAAACAAGTTCATAAAACCAAACATTTTAGAACAATATCACGAACATAGTGAGCTAGACAAAAACTACATTGTGCACCTACCGAGACAAAGTTGGTCTTGAGATGGTCCACTTCAAAGCGGAAAGGAATTCCTTGAAAGTTGAACGACATAATGCCCTTGTCGTTATGAGCATTGCAAACACGCACCAGACTGTGGAAGCGGATGGTCGACACTGGAGGGACTTGCACAGCCAAGATCATGTCTTTTGGTGGCTCTTTCTGCACCAAATTGACAGATACAGTTTCCTTATGCCTTGTGACTCCCAACAAATGCGCACTTAATGAAAAATATTTGCCAAGAATTTTGATTGAAGCGGTTTCAAAATGCAAGTTCTAGTGTTTTAAGTAATCACCAGCACTAGCAAAACCAAGACTAAAGTACCTTGCTGGTCACAGTAGCTTCTTGCTAGTCTGTGCAGATGTTAAAAGGACAATCAAGAGGACTACTAAACCAAGTTTAATAAGTAAGTAGCAATTCTATAACTAGCAATGTAGCTTTTGTTATCGTGAGCCAGACACCACAAAAAACTTGACCTAATAAGTGTAGCGACTTTCCCTGGGCCAAACAGGCAAAAATACAGAATACTTTGAACTTAGTAGCACAGACATCCCAATGCATGTTTTTGCCTTCAATTTGTTCAATCATAATCAGTCCTTTTATGTTTACCAGCACACATGCAGTTTTAAGAAGAACACTTTATCAGTCTAGAAAACTTATACCCAATACATGGCAAATTCAATGTCACTTATCATGAAGGAGATCATAGAACTTATTCGTAATTCGTATTTCATTTGGGAGCAAAACTGAACACCAGCGATACAAAAAAAATGCGAAAAAATTCTATTACATAAACTGAATAGTTAATGTAATAGACATGATTTTTCGTTTGGCTCTTGGCTCTTCTTGGTTTATTTTGTGCAGCTGTAACCTGCACAATATGGCTAAACATACATATTCAGAGGAACTTTGTACAATTAGAAATAATAATTTCAAGCATAGAAATTTTCTAAATGTAGGTTTCTTTAGCGTTTTTCATTACCCGAGGTCATAGCACAGGTGCCAGCTAATCATCTATCCCAACAAATATATTTTGACCTTGCAGTAACATTTTTGTGCGTGTCTTAATGAACCAATGGCAATGTTGCAATATTATATTGTTTTAGCTTTGTAGGATAAATTACATACATAGGCATGTACTGGCTTCCTGTCGAGCCACAGCATGCCACGATGTCAGTATACAGCATGGTTTTCACAACTGCACTGGAAAGCAAAAGTAAATTGAGGGAGCCCTGCAATATTTTTCCAAGTATTCATCAAATGCCTTCTTAAAAAAGCTCACTACCTCACATATTGACTGCCACAAAAAATTTTAGAATTCAAGTTCGAGCGGAGCTACAGGGATGTGCCGCACGCTTTGAGGGGGATGTGCCTTTGGAAACTAACTTTCTTGTTTCTCGTTGAATGCTGATGAAAATTGGCACAGACACTAAAAATGCCTCACAGTGTTTCCATAAAAATTTCGAGGCCATAACACAAATACTTAATGAGATACAAATTATTCCTTCATTGAACCTTGTCGAGAGGCTGGCAGATTTATAAAATGACAAAAATAGTTGGCAATCACTGAACGCATAGCCGAATGTATGCTGAAAAGGGCTGCATTTTCAAAAAAATTTTTTTAGAATGTTAAAATTTGAAGTTAGCATTTTGTTCAGCGACACTGCAATGAGCACACTTGTACTACAAACAAGAAGCCCCATGAAAAATTTTTTAGGGAGTAATATAAAAAACTAAGATTGCAGCCCCCTAAAGCATGAATGAAGGAGCATCACAAAACAAACGAAATCAAAATCTGTGAAGTGGTTGCCAAGATATCTTCTCCACCAGTTGAGCATAATGCCAAAAAAACAGTCTTGAGAAAACTGCATTAAAGTTTCACCTTCTCTTCACGTCTCTAAAACACCTAAAAATTGTGATCTTAGGTTTGTCTTGTGATATTTGACTTCTCAGGCATCTGGCCTCTGCCCAGTGTGCCTTTGTTGCCTATATTTTTTTTCATAGCCTTTTTTTTTATCTACAAATAAGAAGTAGAGACTTCAAACTAAGTTCTCTGTATACAAAAGTGGTGTGACAGTAGGCATGACAGAATAGATTGTAAATGAATAAGGCCATATATTGAAATGATTAGACATTTTTTACGTTCAAGCTATTATTAGCATAACTAGGTGCTCCTTAATTATAAATAAACACTGAAAATTTGTTTATAAAGAAAAGTTCATGGCATAAAAAAATAACTCTTAGTATGACAGCCTATGCCTTTTTTTTAAATGACTAATAGTTATGGGCACAAAACTGGTGGCACAGAAACGTTTTAGCAGTTTATATAATGACGCGAGTCGGGCAAATAAAAAAACTCGTGGCCCTGCTTCATACATGCCCTTTAGCCAGGCTAGCCGTGAAACACATCATCATACGGCCGGTCGCGAAAACGCTGATCTACGAGGCTTTCATTGTTTCAGAACATTTCATTGTCTCAGAACCCGCGGCGACCATCGCAAGGCTCCAAGCACGTCTAAATTGCATCACAAAAGCTTATTGACAGCCCTTCATATGACCGTGAAGTGTGAGGCCGTGTGGACAACACAGCTGGCGTGTCATGCAGCACTTGCCGGCAGCGTTCGGTGATGATGTGCGAAATGTGTACCTACGATGACAAAAAACTGGCGCGCACTGCGTTTGTTATCGCATTTTCGAATGCCGACACCCGAGACTGCTAGCCGCGGTTCCAAGCAATCCTTGGCAGTGGATGAATTGATGGAGGGGGGGGGGCAGGTTGACGAGCTTTACAATGGGGTCTGGTGCCACTGTGTAAAACGCCCGACCACAATTCCGAGGAGCTAGCGAGTGATGTGCTTCGTTGCTTGCAAAGAAGCACGTTTCCACGAGTGCTCCAACACGACATTCTTGCCCGCAAAGTTCGTCTCGCCGTCAGCGAAGTTAGGCCTAAAGACAACTCCGACGACACACCACACTCGTAGACCGTGCGCCCGCTCATAGTAATCTGATCGTGAATCCACTTACAGCTCTGTTGCTTGTGAAAAAGCACATCACCACAAGTGCGCTAGCGCGTCATTCTTGCCTGAAGTCTCGCCTTCAGCAGAGTTTGGCCTAAAGACAACTGCGAATATGCGCCACGCTCGTAGACAGCGCACCTGCTCCTAGTAATCTGATCGTGCATCTGCTTACAGCTCCTAACTAAAGCGTAATTATATCCTAAGCGATCGTCAAGCCATGAACACGTCACGAAGTAGTGATTTTGACAGTCATGTCCTCGCGACGCACAAGCAGCAGACAACGATCTTTTGGAGCGAGCATCGGGCCAATGGCGAGGCGAGTTGGGTAACATAACGGCTACAGCCAATAAGGGGCCTCGAAACGATCTTCGAATATTTGCTTTTTGTACGCTTGTTTTTAAAGGGAGGCGCCAGTTGAGGCAGGAAATTTAAACACGAAGAAACGCTCTTTTTAATGAGCCCAAGAAGACGGCTCCCGGCCACACCCTCGCAAAGCTGTAATTCTTTGAAAATCGATCTTTTTTCACCATTTCCAGAAAAACTTTCGCTACCTAGGAAAATGAAATGAATTTTTCTAAGCACTTGTGCGCCATTTTCTGAGTAGATGTTTTGGAATCAGATAAAAAAAAAGATTCCAGAAACTGAAAACTTTATTTTTGAAAAATGGATTTTTTTGGCCCATTTCTCGCGATACCAAAGCCGCGTCCCCCCCTTAAGCGCATGCTCTCTCCTTTTGTGCCAGTGAGCACGCCAAAAGCTATGCAGGGAGAAACATGACAAAGGAGTAAAAAGATGCACCCATTCGTCAGCATGCATCAAGACCTTCAGCACTTTTCATTGTATTGCGATAGCAATTATATGGACACTCTCGAATGGATTTTGCCGCTGAGGTTGGCGTCAACGTGGGCGTCGGCAACACCGTCATTCACTGTATATGTATACATATCCATATATATGTGAAAACGTAAGAAAGAAAAATAGTCCAGAAATTGACTGCGGCAAGCGGAATCGAACCTCAGACCAGCGAATTAAGAGTGCAAGGCATTAGCCACTGAACCAAGAAAGACCACCTCCTTGAACATTCAAACGGCAAGCTATTTATATCTACCACTTGCCGCTGGCGATGGGCATCTCTGTGAAACGACTATCGTGTTTTCGGCATTACCAAAGAGATGGCGCTATGAGCGCGCACCTCCGCAATGAGCGCGCATCTCGCGTGCGCTCTTATCTCTCGCATGTACTTTGCCCCAAGGAAAGGGGACGCTCTCACCTTCGCTCGCTTACCTCGCAGTGGGGACAATCGTAAACCTAGGGCTTTCACCGGAACGATGCTGTCGTTGTGACCAGGCACAAAATAATCACTGCACTTGTTGCCCAGTCTCCGTTTGTGAAAAGGGCACGTTTTTCACATGCAGCGAAGTAACAACTGAGACGCTTATTCGCGTTCATCTGTAACTGAGTATGTTTCATGCGTCATTTGTGCGTAAGAAACGCGGGGCACATTTCAGTCTGCTTGCCATTCTTCACGTGACCTTCTAATTTGTTGCTATCACGTTCATTGCTTGGCCTTTAAGGCAAAGCTGCGACTTTTTTTTTTCAAATGGGTGGCTTTTATTTAGCGTTGAGAGCAGTCAATGGTCGCGAGAGTAGTGTTGCATAGGCTTGGGGAACGAGGCTATGTTTGGGCAAGAACAGAGGGCAAGATGGTGTGAGGACAAAGGACGGTTGTGTATATGCGGCGGTGTCAGGAAGGCTTTGCGAAGTGAGTGGTAACAGCAAACGTTGGACCTCAGTGGTAAGTGACAAGCGACATGCAAACACTCAGTTTGGTATTTCGAGGTAGATAAAAAGAGTGACACCCCTAGACTTCTGACACTGTGATCGCGAACACGCGTGGGCACGCGGCAGCATTTTGCAGCAGCCAAAGTAACTATGCCGCTCACAATGCTCAAATCGGCCCACGGCCCTACACGGGATGTAGAGTGCAGAAATTTCAATATGCGTATGACATTACACTCAAAGTCATTAGAACAAAGTTGCATTTTACATCAAAGAAAAAAGGCTTCTTATATCCAAACATTCGTTATAAAGATATATTACTGACACTATAATACAGTAAAACCTCATTCATTTGAACTCCGTCA